AACTGTGGGGCCAGTCACTGGGGAGGGAGAGTTAACTGTTCCTAAACAGAACACCAATATTAATAATAACGCTCCCTATTTCCACAGCATCTGTAGAAGCTTTTTACCAGAACCTCATCAGTTCTTACAGAGACTCAGCGAGGAGTGCATCGAGTGTGATTATCTGGATTGATGAATGGGAACTCAGCCAGAAAAGTTACATTTGCTTGGTAGGTAGGAGTAGGGTGGGGGTGGAGAGGAGCAGCAAGAGCAGAGAGAAACGCGGGACACAGCACCTGCACCTCCACTGCCAAGACCACACGCCACCTGGGCACACCTGGGCACACCTGCATTTCCACCCCGCGAGTGCATGGAGGTCTGCTACCCCAGGAGGCCCTGCATGGGAGGGTAAGTTTTATCACGCCAGAACGCTGGCGATGAGTTTAATCCACGCAAGAACTAACAAAGCGAGTGGCGAACAAGGCCTCTTGTGCCAGGCATCCGCTCCACTCCCAGGGGAGCGCAGGAGCAGTGCCCGCAGCTCCGCCAGGGAGGGGCTCCCAGCCTCAGCAGCCAGCGGGGGCCTGGGCCAGGAAATGGCAGGCTGAGACCCACCCAGAGGAAATGCGGGCCTCATGTCCACCACTTGAGGCCTTCCTCTTTAACTCTTACCACGACAGCAAGTCAACCAGAAGTAGAAAACCCTTAAACAGAAAACAAGTGTTTGTTTTATCCAAACTGTGATGTCAATCATGGAGGCTGGCTCCTGGGACACGCAGGGCAGCTCCCAGAGCCAGGAGGGAAGGAGCAGGAACACCAACGCCTCCTCCCTCCCTTCGCCTTCGGCTTCAGTGACCTTTGACCTTGCGTGTGCCATTCCAGGAACCACAGTCCCTCCGCAAGTGACCTACCTGGACAGCCGGCTTCATTATGAAGTTAAAGTGGTGGGGAGTCAGTGGTCAACCAAAACAGAGAAATGCATTTTGGAGCTTCCCAGATATATTTCAAGACAAGTCCCTCGGGGCTTAATTTTCCTTCTCAGCCCGGGCCTGGCTGGCAGCCCAACCCTGCACTGGTTCTCGGGGTCAAGGCTGTGTCTGGGTCCCCTGCTGGTTTCCGGGCTGCTCAGCTCCCCCTTCGGAACCTTTTTGGGTACAATCTTTTGTCACTCACTCAGGGGACGCTGGATCAGAGGGCAGCCTCTGCATTCTCGGGCCAACACTCCTGTCCTCTAGTCACTGTGTCTCGGCCACCAACGGTCAGTTCACCATGTCACCTGTCTACAGAGAGCCGTCATTATAAAGACGACTTCAACGAGGTGATTATTGAGTCAGAAGCAATGCTATTCTGTTAAATTCCATGCTCGTGCTGAAAGTCCTCATCAAAACTCTAAAAAGAATTCTTACCCATGCATGTATTTATCACAACACGAGCAAAGATGTTTGAGTGACCAGCACTTCCCACAGCAAAAATCTCTCTACGAGCCACCCCCTGCTTGAGCCACAGCTCTCCGAGATGCCATTTCACAGCCCCCAACAGGTTGCAGGGAGAATGGGGAAGGAAGGCCTTCGAACTGACCTGGCAGCCACCATGGCCGCCAAGGGAAGTACGCATGCCGTCAAACTCTCTGGATGTCCTCCTGGCCCTGTGACCCAAGTGACTCTTTCTGAACATGAAGTAACCAGAGGGAGGCCTAAGGCTACCCTATCAGCACCCCTGCCCATTCTAGGTCCTCCCTGCTGCCCCCAGTCTTTGCCGGGCAAAGCCACATCCTGGCTGATGCTTGGCCCTTCGCCACTTTTCTACCCTGAGCTGTGCCGAACACACTCAGGAAGTCTCCGACAAGAGGCAGACGGTCAGGAGGCAACACCTCTCTGTTACATAACTCGAAGCACCGCACCTCCTGAGAGCAGCCTTGGAGATACCTCCTGGCCTGGCACTTCCGAATAAACAACTACTTGAAAGAGAAAATCGTAATCTTTTATTTGATCACCAGCGTACAGTCAGATGAGGGGGGGATGGGACCAGATTCTTTAAGTTATGTGTCGTTCATTCATTCGACTGATACTTGTGTGATGCCCAACACCCACAGAGTTCTGAGCGAGGCCCGGGAGGGACACACTTTAAAGCCCCGTCCAGGCCTGGGCGGGGGTCCCCAGGGGGTCCCCATCACCTGGGCGTCTGGGCCCCATCACCCGGGGAAATCAGCGGTGCTGCTGACCTCCACCCTGTCTTCCCTTTCCAGTGAAAGAAATACCGGCCTGGGGCTACATGGGGTCACAGGACTCGTCCCGGCCCAAGCAGCGTTCAGTCACTTCTAGGTCAGGTCATGTCAAAGCTAAAACAAGACCCCCCCCCCACAAGTTCCTTTCCAGGGCTGCGGTAACCCCGCAAGCACTCTCGGGATCTCACGTCCATCGGTTTGGGTCTTTGAGTGACCGCAACGAGCGGGGCCCACCTGCTGACCTCGCTGGACACATGGCATGGGCAAGAAACTGCCCTCAGCCACTGAGATCTGGAGGTCCTTTGTCACTGCAAAATAGCCTGTCCTGCTGATACATCACTGTTTAAAAACGAGAGAGACACCTGCAAAGGCCCCCTCCCTCACTTGTTTTCTAAATCGAATTATATAGAAAAACAGAAATTGTTTCAAAATTCAAGGGCAGTAGGGACTGAATAAAACCTCGAAAGGTATGTCCTGACCGGAGTGGCTCAGAGGGTTGGGCGTTGTCTCACAAAGTGAAAAGGTCACCAGTTAGATTCCTGGTCAGGGCACGTCACGCGCCCGGGTTGCAGGCTGGTTCCCTGGTTGGGGCATGCACAAGAGCAACTGACTGATATTTCTCTCTCACGTAGATGTTTCTCTCCCTCTTTTTCCCTCTCTTCCCTTTTCTCTAAATATAAATAAAGTCTTTACAAAAAAAAAAACACCCTAAAACCTTGAAATGCAGAGGATGCCAACAGGTTAGACAACTCTGAAGGGTAAGGAATGAAAACAGAATGACCTTTCAACAGCAGTGAAACCTAACCATTCGTGAAATTCAGCTAAAGAGTTTAAAGGCTGGGAAGAAAAGGTTGCCTTCTAACAACAGGTCCAGTCATTTACAAAGTAGTGAGGTCCCCAATGAAAGAAGCATTCAAGCAAAGGCTGAATGACCACATGCTCCCTCCTCACAAGTCCCATACCACTCTGTTACTCTCTCTAGCTTCCAGTGACCTTAATTAGAACCAGGTCATCATTTCTCCATTGCCCTGTAAGCTCCCAAAGGTAGTTTGTTTTTATGCCTCCACACCCCACCTCCACCCCTTGGCCCTTATCACAAAGCCCATTATCTATCAAGTGTTTGATAAACATCGGCTGAATGGATTAAATGAACGTTGTAGAAAGAGCTCTGGAGGGAAAAGGTTGTTCTAATAACCTCTAGGGGCAACCTTTAGGGCTGCCCTCACCTACAGCTAAACAAATACACCTCTGCAGACATCCCAGGGTGGGCGAGCCTCCAACTTAAACAGCAACAACAAAACAACACTGAACACCAATACAACACTTGATTGTGATTTATTACTGTACACAATTCAAAACCACAGTGAAACCTAACACTGCACCATGGCTATCTTTGTTCCTGGACATGCATTTACATGTACAGGCAGCTGTTTTCCCAAGTGGAATTGTGTGTATGAGGTATTTATTTTTTTTTCTATCTAAAAAAAAAAAAACCACACCCTTTGTTTCTATTGCATTGTTACACTCCCTCTTACCCCATCACGTGGTTTTTCTTCTCGCAGGAATACAGCACACACCCTGCATTATTGCTGACATAAAAATTACTTGTCAAAATACCTCTATCCTAACACCATCACAAATCTGATCTTCCTAAATAAAGCCTCAGCCTTTGTTTTCAGCCAGGACCAGATCACTCACCTACTTCTCCCCGTGCTTCCTGCAGGCTTGGAGGAGAAGGATAAATGCCAGTGTCATTTATATTCCTTAAAGTCGCCTTCCACAACAAAACTACCCTGGAGGCTAGTGACAAACCTTTCCAGTTATTTTTTCTTCTTCTAAGGGACTTGGGTTGTGGGGAGAGAGCCTGCCACTGACCGAGTGCAGGGGCTACCACTGCAGAGCAAGGGAGCCCCAGCAACCAGGAGCCTCTGGCCCTCAGCAATCCCTCCTTCCGCCACAGCGAGCCCTGGGTCCGTTCCCACAACCGTCCTCATCTTCTGCTGCTCGTGCGGGGCGCCAGGACTCTGCCCTCTAGGAGGCAATGTCAATGCCAAGGTGTCCTCCTGCAACTGAAGGTGACAGTTTCCACTGAGCTCTACCAAGAGAACCCCAGATCTGGTTAGGTGGACATCAAAACAGAACTATCCTTGGAAAGAAAAGAACAGGCCAGAGTTTTTGGAAAAGAACCAACAACCTAAAGATGAAACGCAGACTGAGAGCCTAATGGTTCACAGCTTTATAAATGGGAACTTAACGAAAGCTCCGTTTCTGTTCTTCCTGCGCCGCCCCCCCCCAGCAGCCCTCCCCTCCCCCTCCCACTGACTTGCAGCTGACACACTGATAGTGCAAACACTATCACAAGGAAGGGGTGGGGGAAAGACACTATTTCCCAGGAAAGTCACCATTTTTGACTTGTGCCCCAGCTGAGCACTGGTCAAATTTATAACCAGCCATGCGGATACCTTTTCAACAAACGCTATCCCCCTGAAGCCCAAATACACTACTCCACATAAGAAAGCAGGTATAGATGCAAATCCCACGTTCAGACACAACTGCCTATTCTCATCGAAAGGAAGCAGGTGGAATTTACACAACCCCCAACGCACCCTGCCGGCCCTCAATGCTTTCCTCAAAAGGAAGGTTTCAAGTCATTGGCAATTCCTTTCCAGCAGCCCCCACCTCCCCACAGACAGGAAAGGAATGGTGGGATGCAGAAGCCGCCCAACGCCCGTGCAGATGCCGTTGGCCCAAATGACCCACAGACACCCAGGCGGCTACCCAGATTATCGGGGGTTACCTGAATCTGTCGCCGAGTCCCTTTCACCCTCTTCTGCGCGATGACATCAAGGGGAAACACTACGCCTTTGGGAGACTCGAGGCTGCCGAGCAGGAAGCACAGTTGAGTCTGAGCCGGGTTCAGCCTGCAGTGAAACACAGGCAGCAAGGGTTAGATACGCGCAGCAGAGAAAGACATCCAAGCATCTTGCCGGCCCGCGGCGGCGGCGGCGGCGGAGCGGATGGCCTGGGCGGGTGGGGGGAAGGCGGCGGAGGTGTGGAGGGCTGGCGGGCCGCGGAGGGGGCGGAACGCTTCCTAATTGTCTCTGCTGGAGACACAACCACCTCCCGCCACTCCTCTGCAGTCTCCCCCGCCCCCAAGTTCTCCCCTGGTGGTAGCGCTTTTGCTGGCAACTGTAACCCCTCAAGAAAGAAATCCGAAAGACATACGAGAAAGCGGAGAATAACATCTTGGGGCAAATGCACACTGGCAAAAAATATACCAGGTACGCCTGGACAGATGGGAATGCGGGGCGCCCCGTCACCCACCCGGGCAGACAGACCAGCGCTGCATTCGCGAGCATCCTTCTTTCCTTCACGCCGTCTGTCACCTCATCAAGTCACTGCCACTCTGTTTTGCCGATTTCTCTACTCTTCCCAAAACCACGCCACGCTCCCCCCACCCACGGCCGCCCCAGGCGGGACGGGGGTGTGGGGCGCCGCTTCCGGAGCAGCGTCCCGCCAGTCCAGCCTGCTTTGTCCTGCCGCTGCCCTTCCAGGGGCAAGAGCCCCAGGCGCGTGGGTTTGCACAAAAGACACCCCCAACATCTGGCCCACCACTGCGTCCTATCCTCCCCGGAGGGGCCATGGGGCCACAGAGGGGCGCGCGAGGGCAACTTCTGCGGGTGGGGAAGGCGCTCAACAAGGGGCTCTCGAGAGGACCTACTCCACTGTGCGCGGAGTGGGGGCGCCGCTGGGGCGCGCGTGCAGGCACGTGCACCCCTAGGGGCACGCGCGGCGCGGGCGAGACGGCTCCTTCGGGCCGGAGCTCCAGGGGGCATCCGAGGACTCGAAAGCCGCCGACAGCGCCATTCCCCACCATAAACCAGCCTGTCCTTTCCTGGCCGCAGCCGACAGCCCAACGCCACCAGCGCCGGGGACAGACACGACTCTAGGGACCACCTCCCCACGCCCCGGGGCTTCCCCCGTCCCACGCGCTGCGCTAGCCTCCCCGAACCCCCTTCGGCCCTACCACCCCCATCCACCCACCGGCCAAAAGGTGTCCCCAACGCGCCAGGAAGCGGCTCCCCCCTTCCTGCTTCTCTGCTCCGGCTGCGGCCGCCTTGCGGGCGCTGACACCCCGGCGTGCCCCTCAGCCGCCCCCGACTCAGGAGGGGCAGCGCGGAGAAACAAACCGAAACTCACCGGCCGCTCTCGGCGGCAGACGCGGGAGTGCTCTACAGAAACGGCGGCGGCGGCAGCGTCGCCCGGTGGTCCCGCCGCGCCCGCCACCCGCTCGGCCAGACGTGCGGCGCGGAGCGCGGCGAGCGAGCGCCGAGCGCCGGGGAGCACGGAGTCCGCAGCCCCAGCTCCCTGCCCCGCCTTTGGGGAGGCGCCCCACCTGCCCTTACGCCCTCGCGCTCCCGGCTGGACACTGCCGCTCAGCAGCGAGCGGCTGCTTTTTGTAACAACGCCCCGACTAAGGCACCAAAGGGGTGGGGGTGAGAGGCCGGGCTCTGCTCCCCGCGGCACCGCCCCTGCCCGGCGGCTCCACCTCCTCCAGCCCCCCCCCCCACCCCCACCACCATGCCACTTGCCCCAGACGTCAGTAAGTGCGTCCAGAATCGCATACCACCCCCAGGGGTGAGGAGCAGCCCACCCTCCCGCTTGCCCTTTCTCGGCCTTGCCCCCAAGGGCCCAACCTTGGAGGGGTCCTCGACGTCATCTTTTCCACCCTAGCAGGTGGGACCGCCGCTGGAATCAGGTGTGAAAGGAGGCCGAGCCCAGCCCGCCGAAGGGCGGGGCGAAGGGGGGGTGGTGGTGCTGAGGCCAATGGGAACCAGTCCGCCGCCCCTGACCGGGGGACCGAGCGAGGGAGGAGTTGAGATCGGCCGGTTTCCAGAAACTGCGTGGACCCGCGTCACCGCAGATACGCATTGGCTGACCCTTAAAGTTCACGTAGTCCAGCCTGGGCGAGTCCCGTTTTCGTGGACGGGAGGCCCAACACATTCCCCCCCCCCACACACACACACCGGCCCCCCTGAGAGGGGTAAGGGGAGCAGAGAGGTGCAAGTCCTGAGGGTTCCGTGACAGCGCGGACCACCGAACCCCTGGCCCACCCTAATCTCCACCTTAAACCCAAACTCCTCTCGGGATGCCTAGTTCCCCCAAGAACACGGTCTCTCGCTTCTGGCATTAACTATAAAGCAGGAGAATGGAGGGGGAAGGTCGCGGGTACAGGTTTCCATGTCCTGGCGTCTTTTTGAAGGATTTCTAGGCCCAGAACTCTGTGACCTGAAATCGACGCCTGCCCACTCTCCCGGACTGCCGCACCAGTTCGAAAAAAGGGGTCCCTTAGTCATCCCCCCAGCCCTTCCCAGCTGCCTGAAGTGAACCGTCTTCCAGTCCCCGCAGGCGCAGGCGGGTCCCAAAGGAAAGAGCGGCCGCTGGGACCTCTCCCAATCGTTGGCTGAAGTGCTTCTGCCCAGGCGGTGAGGCCTGGGAACCAGAGCGAGCGGTGACCCACGGAAATCCCTAAGGCACTCCAGTCGACTGGCCGCCCTGTCTTGTCCCACAAATAAAGCCTGTTAGTAAGGTTTCCAAGCACATGCAGAAGTCGGTCGCCAAGAAATGGATGGAGTTTGGTGATGGGCAGTCCTCGCCAGGACCCCATTTATATACAGCCTTCCCCTGGCTCATCTGTGCACTTTTGTCCCCTGAAGCTGCAGCTTCTCCTGTACAACACTCCGCAGGCGTGAAAGTTAATACGTGTGTTCTAAAACCCAGGGGTTTCCTACTCCAAGGGGTCTTGGGGTAGAAAACGTCAAGAGTATTTTCAACCTCAACTTTAGGGCAGAAAAAAAATTTTTTTTTCTTTCAATGAGAAGCTAACGAGAGTATTGAAAACTCTGATGTTGGCTGGGGGCTTGGAATAGGACGGGGAGTTAGAACCACCCAAGAATTTACCAGGAACATGTAGCCCAGAAATATTTATGGTTATACAAGAGCAACTTTAAAAAGAAGCTAATTTCAGGGACCAGTCATGATTTAAAAAAAATGTTTCAACTTTTTTCAGCCCCGTTCAAAGCAACTCAGGATTCAAGCATTCAGCAGGGTGTGGGGCGAATGCTCCGTCCTTGGCCATTCATTCCCGATGGCTGGTGTTTTAATTCACACAGCATCCTGGGTGTTCTGCCTTCTGTCCAGTCTTGTAAAGCTGTCACACAGAGAAGGTTAATTAACTGGGGCAGACCGGAATAAGCCAGTTCTTAAGACTAGCTGTGGGGGGGGTGTGGGGGCTGCAGTGCGGGGCAGGCAGCAACTGTTTGAGGCAGGGGAAGAACAGGCAACGACATGTCATGGAAACAGATTCTTAGGTGAGACCGTTCCAGAAGCAAGGCCACTGGGACCAGGCAGTGTTCGGAGCTACAAGCTTAAGCTTCCAGAAACCCACTCCAGGCTGCGGCCCTGCCCATGCCTGGGGGTGAGACAGGATCCAGGCAGCGTCCCAGGTCTTGATAAAGCAGAGTGGCAGGGCGGGGCCCCAGCATTGGGGAACAAGATAAGGAGCAGACAGATGCTCGTGAATTCACTCCACAAATATTCCTTGAGTTCGGACTGTGTACTGAGAACCAGGTTCTAGGGGTAGGACAGAGAAGAAAACAGACCCAAATTTCTGCCCTCGCAGAATTGACCGTCTAATGGTGGAAGCCGAGCATACCCAGCATCATCAACAAGTAAAGTACACTGTGTCACAGGGTGAAAAAGGGAAGGGGGTTATCAAGTCTTCGCTGGGAGAGGGCTGACCCTTTAGCTCCATAGTCAAGGAGGTGCCTTTGGAGCGGAGAGCTGGAGGGAGGAGGGAACAAGCCACGCCGGTCCACAGGAAGACTTCCTGTTATCAGGGGACACGGGAGGACACAACACAGGAGGGCCTGTACAGGCAGACCTGGGAGGTGATACTGCAGGTTCGGTTCCCGACCGCCGCAAAGAAGCGTGTTGTCCTCTTTTTCGGGGTGGGGGGGAGGGCTCTTGTCTTCAGTTTGTAAAAAGCACAATACCTATGAAGCACAATAAAAACCGAGTGCAGTAAAATGGGACTGCCTATATTTCCCCAAGGGCAAAGGTCAAGATACAGGTACTGGCTCTGTCAGATACTGGTCAGTCAGGCCAACAGCATTGATTCATGCTTAGTCACCTGAGGTTGGATTAAAGCTGCTTAAATAGAGACAGGGCTGAGTCCTTATCTCTGTACCCTCAGCAGAGAGCACAGGTACCCGATAAATGCTTACGGCGCTGAGCCCTTAGACCTCCCGGGATGTGGATGGGGCCGAGATGGAAAGGTGACCCCGTAATACCCAGGGCAGCACTACAATTGGGGATGACATTTACACACACACACACACACACACACACAATGTCTACATCTCTTTCATGGCTTTCCTTGTCTGTCTTTCTGATCCGGGCTAGGAATTCGCTTCCCAGTTGTACCTGACCTACTAGGTGGGAGGGAGAGCACGGAGCAAAGGAGAGAAGGAGGGAGGGGAGGGGGAGGAGGATCAGAACAGGCAACCAAACCGCTCCCCGCTTCCCACCCTAAGGATCTAAATCCCACCCCATGGCGACGGTGAGTCTTCTGTTCAACAGGTCTTGAGGTTTACGCATTAAAATTGCATCTTGAAACTGAATTATAGCAAGTGGGTTTTATGGGACATAAATTATACCTCACAAATTTGTTTAAAAACATTGAAGCAGGCACCCATGTTTATTTAGACCACTTTTTTTTTTTTGGTTAATTTTTAGACCACTTTCATGTGCCCTCAGTGAGAAGACAAAGGAGGGTATCTAAGCAACTACATTATCATCCTTCCTAACAGATGTTTAACCCCGCCGATTTGCATGAAATAAGAAGAACATTTTGGTCTCTGCCCCTGGTTCCTGGCACTGAGCTCCTAAATCCCTTGGAATTTCCTTGGTGGCAGGAGTGTCCTTTTGTTGTTCTGAGGTGACTCTGGGTGGGCTTCTGGATGGGGCTGCTCACCAGAAGGACCAACCCCTGGCTAGCAGCTTGGGATTTCCAACCCCACCCCCCATTGTCCAGAGAGGGGAGAAGGGCTGGAATGGGGTTAATGATCCATCACGCCTACGTGAGGAAGCCTCCCTAAAAATCCCCGGAGTATGGGGTTCAGAGACCTTCTGGGTCGATGCACACGTGGAGGTGGGGGGAGAGGGGTGCGTTCGGAGAGCCCGTGGAAGCCCCGTGCCCCTTCCCACGCCCCCGGCCCTGCATAGCCCTTCTGTCTGGGTGCTCATCTGCGTCCTTCCTCATATCCTGTTACAATAAACGGCTAAGCAGTAAGTAAATGGTGTTTTGAGTTCTGTGCGCCGCTCTAGCAAATTAATCAAACCCAAGGAGGGTGCTGTGAGACCCTCCTATTTATAGCCCCTCTGTCAGGAGCTCAGGCGACAACCTGGACTTGGAGCTGACGTCAGCGGGTGGGGTGGGAGCGGCCTTCTCAGACGGAGCCCTGGACCTGTGGGGTCTGCCACTGGGTCCGGGTAAACGAGTGAAATTGTAGGAAACCCAGCGGGTGTTGCAGAGAATCAGTTGCAGGGTGGAGGGGAATCCACGTATTTGTTGACCAGACGTCTAGGAAGTAAAGAGGGAAAACATGGGAGGAAAAGTGAACTTTTCTTCTTCAGTTTGAAAATCACTTTTCCCTTATAGGACATTTGCCCCCTTAAAGTGTATTTAGTCTTTTTAAAACCTAAAAAAGTCTTCAAGCACATATAGTATAAGATAGTAATAATGTAGTATAGTATAGTATAGTATACATATAGTCTAGTATAGTAATAATGACTGCTAAATATAGCACACTTTTCAAAACTGGCTTTTATGTGGGGGCCCTGCCTAAACCAATCCCAGCAGACCCATGTCTCTGCTCAGGCCTCCCGAGAGAGGGAGGCGGTGTCCCCGACACAGCGTCTGGGGCCAGGCACCGCCCGAGGACAGCACAGCCCCACCTGGACAGAACACCGAAGTGCCCTGGACACCCCACGGGATTTTTTCGCAGGAGCTACGTTCAGGCTGCTTTTCTCCAAGTGGGAAGGGCTGAACAGAGACATCTCTCTTGTCCTTTAACCTCGTCTTCGATCCTGTACAACAGGCATTCCAAAACAGCTGGTTACAACCATGTGACCATATTCACATAGGCACCGATCTGTCTGGATGATGGCCGTGAACAAAATGGCCATTCTGGGGTGTCCTGGCTACATGTCAACTTCAACTGTGATGTCACCATCCTCTGGACAGCCTCCTTCACGGCAGGTGTCTGGTGTTGGTCACCACATCTGTGCCGTTTGGGTTGAGTAAGGTCCTCACGCCCACCAGCCGGTTACTAGTGACTTTGCTATGAGTATAGCCAAGGGGAGTGG